AAGATAAAATAAAAAATAAAATTTGAAGGCATATAAAGAATTCAAAGAAGAAAATCAGGATATTAAAAGGTCACAAACCTCAGAGAGACACTGCCCCCAAGCATTGTTGAAGAGCAGTGTTTTTAAGTACAAGAAGCAAATTATAATCTAAGATTTAGCAGAATACAAGCTTAGGAAAAGAACAAAACCAACTAATGAAAATTTCAAATAGAATTTTGGTGTAGTATACTTGGAAAAAATAGTGTTTTTATTGTGCTTATAGGAAACAAAGGGTTAAAGAGAAAAAGGAAAGAAATTTGCCAATCAGAATCTTTATGCCTCAGTATAAATAATAGTAGTAATATTAACATGTTTCTATAATGTTTGGCATTTTTCAAAGTTTGTATATATGTGACACCCATGTTTGAAATTCACTGTAAGTGTGAGATATCGGTAGGGTAGAAGCTACTATCTATTTCATCACTGAGGAAAACCAATAAGTCAATGATTTGTCTAAAAATGTTCTGCTTTCTCTAAGGACATTATGCCCAGGAATACGGTGCCTAAGACCTGCCACATAGTTTCCATTTCATTGCAATAAACTTAATGATAGTAAATTCCTTCCTGGTGAAAATATAATAGCTTTGTTGACAATGTACCAATAAAAAATAATTTCAAATTCATAGACTTTTCTGTTATTTTCTATTGCAAGCTTCAGTGAAATGGAATAGTTACTGGCCTCAGATTTCACATACATAAGCATACAAATACATTAATATGTCTAAAAGACCTGAGTGCCACCTAACTCTTGATCAGAGCAGAAATGGTGGCGCAAAGATGGGTGTTACTGTAAACATGTAAGAATCCTCATTTCTTAAATTAACTTGCTTCTCTTTCAAGCAGCTTACACAGCAGAATAAATCACTGTGTGTTGGGAAATAATCATTTATAAATGTGGATAATGTCGATAATGCCTGCTCCAGTTACTTTCCTCAATAAATACAACCTTTGTGAAAGGGCAGCAGGAACAATGACAATCTATGCCGAAGAGCATCTATAAAATTCAATTATATTCTTTAGTTTCTGACACTGTTGGTCTTACAGAAAAATAAAAGTAACGTAAAATTATCTGGACTATAATTTATAAATGGAGCAAATTTGCATAAAAAGCAGTGGTTGAACTCCACACCTGAATATGTTCCTCCACAATTATCATGAAGATTATGTGCATTTAATTTACTCTCTAACACACCTTCTTCTGAAATGAAGCTTTGGTAGGGTACAATTTCAATCAGAAACATTATTACTTTTAAAAAGCCTCATTTGAACATTTTTTCCCTTCGGCTAAGATCTGACAAAGACTCTCATAATTATCTTACAAGCCAAATTAAGAAATGTTGGAGGGAAGGAGGTGGAGTTCAAATGTCTTTGTCCGTGATTTAATTATTCTGCCATAAGAACATCAATGGTAGACAAATGGCAGCCTTTCCTGCTGTTATGTTGAGATTTCAGGCCCATTCTGTTCTAAAGATCTGAGTGAACCCTCACGCTTATCAAACTTTAAGATGACATAAAGCTGGGAGTTATTTCACTGAAAAAAAAAATGGTATTAGGGACTAAAATCCAGAAGATGAAATTGAGCAATGACAAGGATCAATTCCTACTCTGTGATTCAGAAAGGTAACTGCACAACAACAGGATCGGTGCAGATCTGACCTGGTGCAAGTTTTCACTGAAATAAAAAAAGAGGAATATTGAATTGATCACATGTTAGTACAAGTCGAAAGTACGATATCGTACACTTAACAATATGTTAAAAGGGTAGATCTCATGTTAAATATTCTTTCAATTACAAAAAAGCTCTACCGCAGGAGTTCAGACATGCTTCCCTCAACCTAGCCTCATCCACCTTCTCCACAATTTCCTTCTCAAACCACCTGGGGAGTGTGTGTTTCTGGAAGTTGAAACTAAAAATCTGTTCATCACCATTATTATTATTTTTCTACTTTACTGAGCAATAGTTGACAAATAAAAATTGAATGTATTTAAGGTATACAACTTTATGATCTCATATACACTGTGAACTATTCATCACAATCAAGCTAATTCGTATATCCATCACCTTATACATAGCTAACCACCTGTGTGTGTGAAAACACTTCAGATTTACCCTTTTAGCAACAAGTATTCAGTATGATGTTAACTATAGTCTTGTTGTAAACTAGATCTCCAGAACTTATTTATCTTACACAAATAAAACTTTGTGTCCCTTGACCAACATCTTTCCATGTCCCCTTCTCTCTTGCCCCTGGTATCAACAATTTATATTCTCGGTTTCTATTAATTCAACATTTTTAGATCTCACATATAAGTGAGAACATGCAGAATTTGTATTTCTTTGTCTGACTTATGTCACTTAGTATAATGTTCTCACAAATGGCAGGGTTTCCTGCTTTATTAATGCAGAATAATATTCCTGTGTGGCACGTGTGTGTGTGTGTGTGTGTGTGTGTGTGTGTGTGTGAGATCACATTTTCTTTATCCATCCAGCTCTCAATGGACATTTAGGCTGTTTCTATAGCAGATAGCTCCTCAAAATACTGATTTTTATTTCCTCTGAATGTACATACAGAAGTGAGATCGCTGGCTCAGGGGGTAATTCTACTCATAATTTTTTGAAGAGCCTCCATACTGTTCTCCATTGTGGTCCTACCAGTCTGCTGTCCGCCGAGAGCACACCAGGGTCCCTCGTCCCTACATTCCCACGAAACCTGTGATCTCTTGTCTTTCTGGTCATAGCCATTCTAACAGGTGTGAGACAATGTCTTGTTGTGGTTTTGATTTGCATCTTCCTCAGGACTGGTGATGCTGGACATCTTTTCACATACCTTTTGGCCATTTGTATGTCTTCTTTTGAGAAATGTCTGTTCAGGTCCTTCACCCATTTTTAAATTGGGTTCTTGTTTCATTTGCTGTTGAGCTGTATGAGTTCCTTACATATTTTGCATATTAACTAGGGAGTTTGGTGTATCACTGCTTCCAGGAAGGGGTGGTTATTAGAAGGAAAATGTTCCTTGGATGCTGAAGACAGAAACTAATTCAGAAACATGGTCCTAGATGCAACAGGCATCTTGGCCATCACTGGTAGAAAACAGAGGAGGCAGCTCAGAAATTAACTTCACAAGGTCATTTCATCTCGTCCTCTAACCCCTAATGGGTTAAATGCTTAAAGCAGCATCAAAAGCACAGAATTAGGAATATAATTTCCAATTTTTTCCCTGAGCCTATTTAAGACTTTGATCAGGTGGGTTAGTGAACTCTTGGGTCGAGCGCAGACGGAGAGCCAGAAGGAAACTACAATTGTACACACAGATGTCGAGAGTAGAACCCAAATATGACTATTTTGTAAATAATTTTAAACTATCAGCATAGTTCCACTTACTAGCAATGTGCCCTATCCAAATTGCTTGAAAACTACAGTTTCTCTATGAGAATTATAGTAAAAGCCACCTCACAGAGCTTTGTGAGGAATGCATGAAACAATAAATACGAAGCATTTAACACATTATAGGTAGCTCATAAGTGTTAGCCATTATTCATAAAACTTTTCCTTTTATGTTCTTAGCCATCAAAATTTATGAAGCCCTTTTATGTTCACTGAATAAAACCGGACATTGGGAATAAAAACCGGACATTGAATTTAAAAACTGAACAAACTTGGATACCATCCAGTCCATTTCTTCCAAATCAGACTCCTTAATTGTAATATCAAAAGAACAATAATTAAAACAGAGCTACTCTAGAGGAAAAAGTTTTTTAAAAAGTGTGCTCCTATACTCAGAAGAGTCGGCTGAAACACAGGCCTCAACAGCGGGTACTGTCTGTGGCAGGACGTAGGAGCCTCTGCCCGAAACCAGACCACATGTGTTCAGTGCCATTCCTGACATCTCCAGAAGGTCCCTGAATGTTTTCTGGGAAAGGCTATCAGCATATTAGGGGGCCAAAACTCCATATGGGAGAAAGACTTAAGAGAACTGGGATGTTATTAACCTGATAAAAGGTAAACCTTGGTACAATACCATTGATCCTCAAAGATTTGAAGAACTCGATATATTTAAGGCAACAGATTTATTTGCCAGAGGGCCAAACTTGAAATTAGAAATAAAGATGACTTAAAAACAGATTTGGGGTTCATATATTGAGACAATACAAGAAAATACGGGATCTAGAGTTCAAAGCCCCAAATTCAAGGCCTGGCTCTGCTTTTATCAGCTCTTCGACTTTGCACAAGTCATCTACACTCTCTGAGCCACACGATCCTCCATCTATAAGGTAAGAAAAGCTAGTAACAACCATATCAGAAAGCACACAAAATGTACTGAGATTTTAAAATGACTCGAAAACAAAAACAAGCCACAGAATGGGGGGCCTACAGCTGAAAGTGTCCAACAGAAGCCATGCATGGTCCCCTTGAGTTGAGGGGAGTCAGGCTGACTAGACTGGAGAGAGAAATTGTTATACCCTCCAATGCAATTGCGATTTATTCACTTACTACCTATTTTATCTCAAATGCAGTAAATAGCAATGAAAGGAGAGGTAAAGCGTCTCTAATGTTAATCATTTGGTTTGGCGTAAGAATGTAGCTAACATCCACAGTCCTTACAGAATTCATGAAAGGGCTGGAGCCCCACATAGATACTTACCAACCTGACCCACCAAAGATCCGCTTAACACAAAACCCCAAAACATGACAAAAGGGCTCTCGATCAAATTATGGTTAATTCATTCACCTAAACTACATCTTTAAGTTTGTGTTGCTGCTCTTGAAAATATATTGAGTTTTCTGGATGGCAAAAGCTCTGTTAAAGTCTCAACTCTCAAATCTCAAATTTCAACCTTCAGATAGTTGATAGTCTCCTTATGCCCATGAACTTACTATATTTTGGTTCTGTCTTCATTAGTGTTCAGGAATAAGGAACCCCTGAGTTAGTAGGCCTGTCAGTTGTTCCAAGTTTACTTACCCTCTGACCCTCTTTTCCAGGTGGACCTTGGAGGCCTGGTATCCCCAGGGATCCCTGTGAGGAAGAAAGGATGCATGTTAACAGACGGTTTCAAGTACACCTGCCTCACAAAGAGTGTTGTGATAATTAACACTTACTTTATTGATGAAATTAAACTTTTAAAGTGATGTTAGCTTTTCCAGGGCTAGACTCTACAATGTATTAATCATGATGAATTGTCCTTCTTTGATGTATCTTTGTACATTAACTCCAGAAAAGAAAAAAAGGCCATTCCAAACCAGGTGTGTGGTTTGACAATTTATAAATAATTTTAAGTGAACACCCTCATCTGATTGGAACCATATTTTATCAATCTACCATAAATAAATGATAACAATATTTGCAGGCAGACAAAAATGTCTCTCTATATATTTAAACTCAATATATAAGCTACATTTTTGGTCAGGAGTACTTCTAAGCATCCTTTAAGAAAATACATGGTTATGATGTTGGCTTCAACATGTATTTATTCATAACATTTAAATTTTAGTATCACAGACATTATTTAATACTTTCTCATAACACTGTCAAGTAGTAGTGGAAAGAAACATTTTTTTTTCAGATTATAAAAAAGGCCCAGGAAATCCCAGCTGCGTTAACCTGGAAGTCAAGTCTCCTGATGCTCAGTTACTATTATGCAGGAATTCTTACTCAACGTGAAACTCAAAATGATGATATTGCCATTTAAAAATGGCTCCAGCAGTTACAGCCAGTCGTTTCCTCCCTGAAAGTCATTGCCTCCTCCTTCCCTGGTCAATGTTTACATGTGGGGCTTTAGTCTCATTTTCTTCTCAGTCCACCATCTCCTGCCGTGATCTCACGTATCACGGGCTTTGGGTATCCTAAGGCTACGATTCCAAGATTTATAGGCGCAATTTGTTTTCTGAGCTGAAGATCCACATTTCCTACTTGACACAGCCACTCCAATCTCACGGGCCTCAGAAATTTAGCATGTTGAGCACCAAACTCAGGATTCTCCCTCCAAAACTGGACCCTCTTCCAGCATTTTCCAACCCATAAAACCTGCTAATGCTCACACCAGAAATCTAAACTCATCCTCCATATTTTTCTCTCTCAAACTTCTCCTTCACATCCAGTTACCAAGTGTGGTTGATGTACCACCAAAATATATTTGGATCTGTTTCTCTCCATTCCAACTGTGGCCATCATCAGCTATTACTGTAGGAGCTCGTAGATAAACCTGGACCCCAGCCCCTCCAATCTCCACGTCACAGCCAAACTGAAATTAAGACAGCCCTGCCTGACCTTTCCTGACTTTCCACATGAAGAGATGAACACTTGTGTCATCAGTCTTGTACGTTGTGCTTGTTCTTTAGAGCATTTATCATAAGTCCATTTAAATGGTTATTCACGTAATGATTCGCTTGGCTCTGAGGACAGCAGATAGAGCTGTCTTATCAACACTGTGTGCCTTTTAGTGTCTGAGTGAAAAAAAATCATTCTAGGGAATCAGTTCACTCTAAGAAAAGGTTTTAGGTAAAGCCAGTCATTTTTAGAGGGTTTTACAAATATATTTATGATAAACCTATCATATATGAAATGCCTTAAATGGTTCAGAATAAATGAGAAATCTAGTAATACATATTGAAACAAATCTGAATTTGCCTTCATTTCAGAAGAAATATTCTTTTGTTACCTAATTAAAAAAATTTTCATTTTTTCAACTAGGATTTTTTTAAAATTGGGATTCATATTTATAATACGACCTTTTTCTTTAGAAGTCGTGGCTACCTTTAAACTAAACATCAGATGTGCTTGCAATGATCTATAATTATATGTATGTATTCATTTCTTTGTTTTCCAAAGAAATTTTCATGTCACAATATTCATAATTCCACCATCCAGTTTTATTTTGAATAAAATTACAGACATTTTAATTTTTCATTCTTTGAATGGAATTATAGACATTTTAATTTTTCATTTGATAAAAGTTGTCAGAATTTAGTATAAATTACTGAAACTAATTCTCAAAAAGTATTAGTATGAAAACTGCATGTATCACCAATTCTCATTGTTCCCCAAATCTTTCTGACTCCTTCTCCACAGAACACTAATAAAATGTATATATTACTTTCATTTCTCTTAACAATTTAACATTACAGGGGCAGGTAGAGACTATGTTTTCTTGGCAGGATAAAAACCGGAGGATAAAAATATGATCAGTTCTGTTTGTTTCTATAAAACAAAACAAACCTGCCAAATGGCATATAACCAAGGAAAGCTGGCTACTTAGGTCAACTTAGGATAGTTAATTCCTAGTGCATAGAAGAAAACCCGATTTTGAAACCCAAACATACCACGTATCAGTTACACTGTAATTATAGGGAGTTGTGTCATTTTTCTGTAAGACTGACGCAATATTGGCTCTAGAGTGAATTCTTCCCTGTTACTCTTAGGAAACTATTATCATTTCCTGAAAAGCTAAACTTATCTATAACATTTTGATATCTGTCCAAATGTTGACAACTCTGTCAGTGTTTTAAATACGAGCTACTAAAATATATATACGCCAAACATTCATCAAGGGACTACAATTAATTCTGAGCCACGTATCATCAACATTTACTCCCTCTCCTATTTGGAGAAATATATAACAAAGGCCTACATGACGCAAAACTATTAAACTTGATTTGAAATGTATTAAAAAAATATTCATGAGAGCCTTTTGCGTGTAATGTCCAAATAGTAGGACACGGTGCACTCACACCAACAAACCCACTGTTATGCTTCCCGTATGGTCGTGATTCTGACTCCGCCCCTTCCCTTTGCTAAGGCTTGGACCCAGCTGATGGAAAATGGGAAATGAATTTTAATCTCCAGTGGATTATTTACTCTTTGAATTATCCATGACCTATTTTTAATCTTAGCCATGTTGCATTAATGTTCAGAATATTTTTGATCTGCCTTTATTGTATTTTAGTTGGCATTTACAAAGAAAAAATAATATCAATATTGACACTGGTAAACATAGGTCAACTAACTGTAGAAAAATTGTATTTTTTCCCAAACTAAGAAATGAAAGTTTGAGGATGATTCATTATTTGTAATTAACCAGCTCACTACCCTACCCACTTAATAAAGACAAACAATGGATTTACTTATCACTTATTATGATAATTACAGATAAACCTAAACTCCAGTTCACTTAAATTGAACTGAGGTATAGCTCAGCATTTGCCTCAGAATACTTCCTGCAGTTCTTTATTATTCTGGCCTCGTAAATACCATTATGTGTGTGCTTTCTCCTCTTAGTTGACTATGAATTCTAGAGCACAGAGCACCATTTTTTTCCTGTACTCTACCACCCATATAGAAGAGACTCATTAAATACTTAGTAAATTGTATTATAAGGAAGAAAACACTGGAATAGAAGAATGCTGGGTGGTGGTGATGGGAAACAGGCTTCTGGTTTACATGTAATCATAATTATTTGCAAAACTTGGACTTAAAATTAAATACCCCATTGGAGAACTTTCAGTCTTGTCTGTGTTTCTTATCTGAAGTGGCCATTCCATTCTCTCTCTGCTGTCTAAGAGGAAATTGTCCTACAGCTCACTTAAGGATTAATCTTACCATTTTTGACATCATCTCTATTTTGAAACTTATTTAAATCTCTGAAAACTTTTTGATATTTTATGGGTTCATAACATTTTTCTAGTTAGAGAATCATATCTTAAGTATCTTTGTGCACAGGGCGTATTTGTATACACCATGCATCATTCTCTTTTTGATTAAATTCGCTGAGGAATAATGCCAATCCATTTTTCTACTTTCTTTACTTAATCTTCTATGAAAATAAGTGTAAATTGGGTTACTCCTAAAATTTTACAAACATAAAGATTTATTGCCTTTCTATACAAGAAGCTTAGGTATATATTTAGGACAGTCATGATGTAAACATCAGCTCTTTTTCTTTTTAGCATAATTCTGGACATTAAAAATGTTGACAAAGAGAGGAATTCATAAGGCTATTACCTCTTTTGGCTGGCATAAAACTATGCAAAACATAGTCCAAGCCAGCTAACGCATTTTCGGTTCCAGTGGAAGCTATCAGTGTGTTCCACTTCCCGCAGCTCTCTCTGGACAATCTGCTGCTTATTTCAGACAGGCTAGAGCTTATCATGGAAGCCCATGTAAATATTTAACTGAGAAATTACTTAGAATTAACTGGTTCAGAAGAGAATTTTGAAGTGTTTAACAAATATAGCAGATGTTTGGTAGAGTTAATAGGGTAGATTAATTGCCTTAGAACACATTTTCATTTGTGAAAAGAGGCACCACATATTCATAACTTCTCAATCAGAGAAAAGGAGCTTAAGGAAAAAGGGGAAGTTTCATTTTTTAAGGGTTGTTTGCACTCCCTTCTCAGGAATGTTGCAGAATATATGATACCTAAGTCCCATGTCAACAAAAATGTTACGCAAGTAAGTGTATTTTAAGTGGGATGATTATTGCTTTAGAATATGCTTCATGGCCTTGAAACATAAGATTAAACAAGAATCTGCATACATTCTTAAAATACCACTAGGGCATTTTTTGTCTTTAGAAACAGAGTGTTCAAAATTAAAATGAAACACAGTTTATCTGTCTTTATAGGAAATTTCATGCCTTTAATATGAGAACAATGGGAACAAATTTAAGTTGGATACATCAGGAAAAAAACCCCAAAAAGCAATTAAGTAAAAATATAGCAGACATATAGTCTGGTCATGGAAGCAAATTACATACGAGTTCTGAGAAGTGGCCCTTATGAATGTTTGTATTAATAAATTAAAGGAGCAACCAGTTTTATGTTATTTCACAGAATTATTATAACACAAGATATAATTTCCCTTAGGGTGTGTAAGTATTCAAAAGAGGAAGTCTATGTTTTCTACAAAAAGCTTATCATTTTATCATAAGCAGTTGTCAGCACACACTAGGAAACAGATGTCTTTGAAATAAAGAACAAAAGAAACAAAGAGCAATCCCTTCCATATACTAAAAAAAGCCCT